TTAGTTTTTTTTTTATTCTCTATAAAAACTAAGATCAAGAAAAATAGGGAAATCGGACTTTTAGTTGAATAATAAAAAAAGAAAACCTTAAAGGGTGCCATGCCTCAAGCCTCCTCTGTTGATCTGTGCCATCCTCATCTTTACATGTTTGAGAGAGATGACACACAATTGCTCAGAACACCTGAGACGGACAACCATGCATCATCAGGCAAGAGGGGAAAAAAAAAAGAACACCAGACTCACGGCTTAGAGGTTTTGTTTGTTCATCCTCTCAAGGCTACCTCTGTTATTCACTGCTACCCTCCGAAAGGAGCTCTTAGCATTCAAAGAGATTCATTGTAGCTACAGTGACAAGGTTTTTCCACGTCCAACCTTGATCTGATGAAAGGAGGTGAACTGCCTACTTCTTCGCTCTCCCGATTTTGTAAACCTTATTTTCACCAAGTTAGTCGATTTTCTTTACTCTTTTTTTTTAGTAAGGAGTTCAAATTTATTCTTATAAATATATTTTTTTTATTTGACCAACTTACTTCTAGTTAATTCAGGAACAGGCGGCAGCAGCTGGTGATGGTAATACAATAGTACATCGCAGTGTGGGCCATTTCATTTCAACAGAATATTTTAAATTCAAGTTTTCTGCATGTGAGAAGTGAAGTGGCTCTAAGACAGGCATGGGCAAACTAAGGCCCGGGGGCCGGATGCGGCCCGTTCAGTTTGTTAATCTGGCCCACTAAACTTTTCCAAATTAGAAAACTTTTATTAACCTTTTTTTTTTTAAATGCCATTGTTTTTGGCATCTTTTGCTCATTTTAGAAATAAAAACAAATTTCGCTTCTAACAATTTGAAAACATGGAACACTTGGGGCAGTTTTTGTCTCTGAAATGGGTTTCTCACTGACTGTATGTCAGTGTGTAAATGATTCCCTTGTTTCCTTTTTTTCATCTTAGTTTTTTTTTTTTTTTTATTAATTTCAAAATGATCTTACTGACAGAGGACTGTCTCAGGAAGTCGTCGTGATCAAGAGTTGCAATCGTCTTTTCCTCTTGACAGCTGCTTTCTCAGATAATAAGTACAGCTGCTTAGAACAATAATCACACAAGCTCACATGCAGCATTAGTGTCTGTCATCATGTCAACCAGTGTCTACCTGTCACACAAATTCAAAGTCATTCACATCCTTCTTCTTCCGTCCCTTCTTCCTCGTCTGTCTCCTCTCACTCACTTCCACCCACATCCCTTTGAACGTCAGCTTCCAATAACACAGCTACGAAAGCGCACTGCACAGAGTGATGGGGATGGAAAATGGAGTCGTCTGCATGTCATGTCTCGTGACGAGTTAAAAGTTTTCTTTTTTATGGCGTCATTACTTTGCCCTTCATGACAATGTTGTTTTTTTACTGCTATCTTTTCGTGCATTTTGACTCTTTTTTTTACTGATTCTGACAAATATTCCCACAAATTAATCCTCGTACATTACAAATTTCTGGCAACCCCAAACACAATTTTTCTTCTAAAAATTAGTTTTTGAACATATTTGTTGTACTCTGTTCCAAGTACAGAGTATCCAGATTAATTAGTGATTTTTATTTTGCAGTTAGGCCAGCTGGTCTTTATAGGCTTAAAAAATAAATACTGAACAAATTATCTGTCAAACCATTGAATTTTGAACTTGATTTATATTCATGGATGTGAAAGAATAAGATTAAGATTGTTTGCGTTGTTTTCCATCATAGTATTGCAACAATAATTAGTATTTTTTTTAAATCAAATTCTAGACATTCCAGGTGACCCCTTTGGAATTCCAGGTGCCCCTACGTGGGGTTGCGACCCCAATGTTGGAAAAAAAACTGCATTAAGGATTACATTAGGTTTATTATTATTTTGGGATTATTTTCCGTTGAGTAGCCTTCTATTGAGATTGTTTTTTGTGCGCTCACGTATGTGCCAGAGCCAGTAGCCGTCACTGAGTTCAAATAAAAAGGCTTTACAGTTTAACTAATTCATTTCAGCTAAATGTTGCGCTTGAGTTTCTTCCTTTCCTTTTATTTCTTACATGAATCAGCCATAGTCCTACCAAGGAAGTGCCTTTCAACTAAAAATAACGCCACTCACTTTCTGAGAAAACATCAGTGACAGATGATCTGTACGAGCAAACTAGATTTTATTTTTCGTTGAATCCATCATTCCACGGTGTTCCCAGCATCGTTTATCTCCCTTTCCGTTTGTATTAGTTCATTTTATCTCCAACCAGATAGAGGTCATTTTGTTTTGACAACCAGTTACATAACCGAACCTCCGTTTTCCATTCTTCTTTGCGGCTGAGACTGTCACTGCAAACATTCTCAGATGTGCTGTCTCTCTTTTTTTTTCTTTTTTTTCTCCCCTCCCCGACGCTTTTCTTTTAAATCCATCTCTGCGTGATGAACGAGGTCATTAGCTCGGGAAACGAAGAAACACATGCTTTTTATTTTTACTGTTGAGTTAAATAAAAAAAACCAAAAAAAACAGACAACGCTAAATCATAGAAATGTGCCAGATTAGAGCACAAGTACTCAAAGAAGCTCAAGGAGCTGTTTGAGTACTGTTGGAGGTATTTTTATACTCATGAAAGAATATTTGTTTAAGACTGTGGTGTTTTTAAACATCATTTTGAAAAGAATGATCATTTATTTCTATTTTTTTCTATCAATTACTGTACATATCAGGCGACCCCACATGAGGTCACGATCCCAAGATTGAAAAACATTCTTTCTTTCATTTTAAACAATGTATCTGTTTTAACATTTTTGGAGAAATACACCTTAAAAGGCGATCCAGAAGTAGCCTTAAATAAACTCTCTCTATCTGCAAGACGATATTTTTTTAAAAAATCAAACCAACGGGTAACTATGGCAACAAATACACTTTGATAGGTGAGCCAAATACAACTACAAGGCTTTTATTTTGAAGGCAACTACTTTAGTTTTGTTTTTGAAATTACAGTCTGCCGGTGTTGGCGTTCTTTGTGATATTCCACTCATCTATTTTTATACAGTTTATGGCTGGTCATGGCAATGAATCAAAACATATATATGATAATATTTTAAAAAGACATTAAGTTTTCTCAATAATATTCTTGAAGTCAATTATGGAGAGCACTTAATGCAGCATGAAAGAACTGTATTCACTGGCACGTGTGATTTAAAAGACTTTTATTGTTCTTTGCAATATTATACTGGCAATATTAAAATGATGAACCTGATGTCAACATCCCTGCATTCCCAGATATTTGTTGTGTACTTTAACAAATTAGATCACAATGAAAGAAAAGTCCGTAGTCTTTAGCTGATATGTGCTCACATGTGGTCAGCACTGGCCAATGCAGACAATGCACCAGTTAAACTTGTACAGTATTAAATATAAATAAACCTGTACATACCCATATATATATATGTATATATATATATATACTGTATATATATATGTGTATATATATGTATACTGTATATATATGTGTGTATATATGTATAGGGGGTCCTCCACTCACATGACGTAACTTTTGTCTTGCGTATTAATTTAAACTATTTTCCTCGTCTGTATCCACGTACTGTACATGAGTATCAATGTCTCTCACCTACGCTAACCCAATGGGTGGCATCGCAGTATAGGATAATTTCCCGAAAACAACACAAACGAAAGAAAGAATACATTTGTTCGGGTTGTTTTTTTTTTTTTGTTTTTTTTTTGCATAAACCAATATATGCCTTATGACAATATATTCGTCTTCTCTGTTCGCCAATTAGTTCCTGTGCAAAATTTGTTGTGATGCTGTGTTTGGGAATAATAGATTAAAACTAACTACTAGTAACTAGTAAATTTCTGGGGAGATAGAGGCCATAACCAGGGGAAAGCCGTTGGTTTAAGACTTCGCAAACCGAGGACCCCTGTGTATAAACATATAAATATATATATATAAATTCTGATGTACATCAAATAAATATCCAAGTGTTCAGTAAGTCCACCTACGGTGTGTCAGGTTGACTGTTCGAGTGAGTGTGTTGGAACACAGGGTCGTTCATTTCAGTCCACAGAGGTAGAATAAAAAACGAATAACCTTATGCTAACGCGTTGGCTTTAAACTCCCAGTGATTCGTCGAAAACAGTACAACGGACACGTGACAGTCACAAAGTATACTCATGCGAAGAGAAAGAAATGGCTTGTTCCTGTGCTGAAGTAATTAAGCGAGAAAGTTTCAATCGATTTTTGTCACATTTTCAACATAGAGCCAGAAACTTTCCGTTGTTGTCGGCTTCCGTGAAAACCACGTGAACAAGTCCGCTAACATGTCGGGGGGAGGGGGGGAATGGGACTAGGATATATTAAATGGTTGCTGGTTGTCGCCTCTCTGTCTTCAGGATGTCTTCTACCCCACGTTCGTGCTTGAACTTTCGCTCTTTAAACCAGACGTTTGGCGTTAGCTCTACCAAAGGAGGGACTATTTTGCAGTCGTGAATCACAGTGTTTCAATGTTGTCCATGTTTCGGGCGGGAAACGCACACTTCCCGCTCCTGTCCTTAGTTTGTGGTTGTAGTTTTTTTTTTTTTACAGAAGAAATCTGGCATATGTGTTTCCCGGTGGACTTTTCTCCCACAGAGACACAGCGAAAAAGTGGTGTGTGTGATAAATGCTAAGTATACAAGCGCAACATAATCTCATGTGTTATTTATTGGCTGTAGATAGTGGTGGATAATGCACAGTCCCCAGTCACTCGAGGGACTAGGTTGTACTCAAGCATGTGTAGAGCCAAAGCGTCACTACCCTGCGTCTCTGCGTGTGCAGGTCTGCTGATTCCTGCCTTACAAAGACCAGATATTTCATTAACGAGTTGCAAAATAATTCACAGCTTCCTCATTAATGTGCAGCTAATCTGTACACGTCTAGCTATGTATAAATATAGTCTTTTTTTTTTCTTTCGTTTGGCTTTTGCCGCAGAGATATGTTACATTTTTTATGCCTTTTTTTTTTTCTTTCGTTTGGCTTTTGCCACAGAGCAGCAGCCTGCAGAGATATGTTACATTTTTTATGCCTTAATAAAACCAAGCCCCTGGGGTTGTGGTAATATATTTTATATCCTGGAATAATCCAAATGAGAACCCTTATCTGCTATCGACTCTTTTTCCCATGCCTGTTTGCCTGGTTTGTCGTAAAGCAAAAAGTCCACGACCCTCATTTTGGACATAACCCAAGTTTGTCTGGCCCAACGCAGGTCCAGAAAATGGAATGGTATGCAAATGTGTACCACCAAGTGTGTCCAGTCAACTGTAAATGTGTCCCATATTCTGCAGAACCTATTTTGTCTTGTTGTGACACTTGTTGTGTTGATTGGCTGGACCAGTTTTGCAGCAGGAGACTAATTAGACGAGGCTTGATCGCACGATTCCCTTGAAATAACTGTTATTAAATTACCGCTTTGGAGCTCGATTAGAAGATGCTATCAAAGTATTTGATATCGAGCTCAAGGGCAGAAGTGTCAATATTCAGTAGGGGGCACTGATGGTGATCTAAAATAGGACTCACAGTGTACTGGACGCATGGCTTTGTTGGCGGTCTTCTGTTCGAAGAGGCAGAAACACCTGCTTGGAGCCTAACAGTACACATAATACACTGGATAAAATTAACAGGAGAAAAAAAAAACAAGATCAATATTTCATATACCATGCCCTTGAAGCCTGATTTATATCGCTTAAGTCTGAGATGAATTAACGGTCAACGTTCATTTTGCGCAATTTGGCCGGCAGGTTGTCGTCAGGTCGACTCCTGACCAAAGAGTTCGGGATCGGCGTTGGGTTCGGAGCAATGATGGCGCTCACGGCTGCCGGCAGTCTGTGTTTCTCCACCTCAAATTCATCTGCGTTTCCATCCAAGGACAACAGCTGCACTTGTTCTTCCAGCTGTCCTTGCCGTGACACTGGGATGGAGCTGGACCGTAGCCTCTGGATGCTAAGTGGCAGGTCTCCAGTGCTGGAGGCTTTGCCCCCTGGCAAGGGCGTTCCTGATTTGAGCCCCTTCCAGAACTCCTCCTTCGAGGAGCTCATTCGTTGGAGTTTCCTGGGAAGCCTGGAAGCTTGGTTCTCCGTACTGTCAACAAAGTCGGCCGACAGGAGTCTTTCTCTCTGGCCACCTCGGGCACCGTTTCCCAACAGGGGGGAGGAGGGTGTGGGAGCAGCGGGGAGAGCGATGGATGATGTCAGCGAGGACTTCTCCTCCTGCTCCTTCACGCTGTGGGGAGGCGTGGGCACCTCGAAGGTGTTGTGGAACTGGGAGTAGTCGACCCGGAAAAAGCCTTCCTCGAGTGACATGACTGGCAGGAAACGGTGACCCCACAGGACTTCATCCTCGGTGTAGGACGTCCTCGCCTGACAGGTCATCCCTATGACAGAGGATAAATACAGAGACCCGCCCCCCACTTTGAGAACCACTGGTCTAGTCAAACACACAGCCGGGAAAAGTGATCAGGTCAGCATATTTAGACCAGATACTTTAACGTGAGTCCTGTGTGGTAGTCAGATACTACATCACATATTTAGACCAGATACTTGTCCTGTGTGGTAGTCAGATACTACATCATTATGAAATATCGTATATGCCGTAAACACAGAATCATTCGTGCTTGCCTGTGGTTTCCACAATGCCCTCGAGGATGACGACGATCTCGAACTGCTCGTTTACGAGCGAGTGCTGCGACAGATCGAAGAACGGGCTCTTGGGGTTGATCTCGTGGCAGATGGTTAAAGGTGACACCAGGAAGAGCTGGTCTGCCCCTGTTCCAAAACCCACGTCCAGTTCACACTGGTCCAGAGGCAGGAACTCACCCTCTGGGGTCTGTCGGGACTGGAAGAAGTACCAAGCATGTTACGTTCACGATTTGACACACGTGATGGTTATTAAGCAACAACTTCTGACCTGTTGTTTTAACCCAGTGGTTGTAGTTATTTTCTGTCATGCCCCCCCCGCACTCCTCCGACCCACAACCCGTCAAATTGAAATACTATTTAGATAACAACATGTATATTTGTATCTCTACAAACCACAGTTTGCTGCCACCTAGTGACTGGAGGCTTGTTATCATTCAATGATGATGTTATCATTAATGAGGATTCAACAAAACCATTTAAAATATAAACATTTTAAGATCACCATTGCGCCATATAACTGACTGGATACCACAATGCATGAACACGTGTTGTGTGCTGTAATATAAATTTTGTTGAATTTATTGGGTATCGAGCAGTAGGTGATTGGTTTATGGCGTGAGCATCCAAAAATGTTCTACTTTCTGAGTTTTTAATATGACCAATTTTTTGCTGATTTCGGGAGATGTGAACGAACCTTTTGTTCATTTCCTTGACCTGAGTGTCTAAGGCTGGTTTTGGTACTTCATGTATGTAGCTCGTGTCCTTCACTTGGCATGCTAAGTAAGTTCCATTATTGACTGTGACTGACCTTCATATTACAATCAATTCTATCTGTTCCGAGTCCTCAGGGAGTCAAATCATTTCATATGGAATATAGACTTGTCTCTTGTAAAAACCAAATCCATCATTTTGATGCAATTTAGATAAATATATTTGAATTCAAATTAGTTTGATTTGAATGGTTTATTTTAATATTTAACCAGGGTGACACAGTGCGGTTGTGTGAACATAGCTAGTTTCCTTTGAATAGGATTTCACGACTGCAAGCGTTGCTAATATGCTCGGATCGATGCCCAATTCGTTTGGGGGCATAGAAAATGTTGCGTCTTCATTTTCTTCTGCTGATATTAGAGTGACAATTTGATTGAACTGTTGCCTTAGGGGAAAGAATTCTTGATTGACATGATTCCCACGTGGATCTTCCGTATATTTGTTTGTGTTCCAGCAGGCCAGTGCTACATGTAGGAGAGGCTTCCTCCTCCTTGTCTTACTGATCGATTGACCGATTTGACTTTGATTAGATTTTATGGTCCGCTCAGTTTGATCTCTTCCTGATTAAACCGATCCAAATATGTTACGTTTCACCTATCTGAGAATACCGCTGTTAAATAGACGTGAACATCTTTTTTTTTATCTGCCCTGATCAGAAATCAGAGCTGAAAATGCTACAGAGGAGAAAAGGAAAGAGAGACTATTGAAGCAGAAAACTATTGTAATGAAATAACACAGTTTTGTTTTGCTTTTTTTTTTTTTTCAAATTAAGAGATGGAGGAAGAAAGGAAAACCCAAGTGAATTGAAATTAAAAATAACCTCTTGTTAAATAAAATAAAAAACCCATTCTTTTTATATGTCGATGTAATTTAAAAGAAGGAAGTCGTGAAGTCAACGAAAGCTTTGCAGTGTTACGGACATCGATTTAAGGAATGGTTCCCATAATACTGCATAAATAAATTGTACAATAGTGGCACTAAAACACCACAGATACCTCAAAGCAAAGCCTGTTTCACACTGCAGTACTGGAAATCAGTCTTAGTATCGTTCGTTTGTTGTTCAGATCTTTGCAGCAGTCAATAACAGAGGTTCATTCTGTGTCATGTGGCGCTAACGCACTGGAAGTTCGAACACCGTAGCCTTTGATGGACGAGCCATTTGATGTACAGATGGCAAACAGACTGTTATTATGATTCACAGTGATGCTGCGGACATGAGGGTGTGACATTTCTCGGGAAGGCGTCTGTGCCCACAGATCCCTGGCCCGCCCCACGGAGGCAGAGTGTGACACACCGAGTGTCATCAGCGACAGGCACGGGAAATGTGGCTGAAATATCTAACTCTGACGTGAAGTAGCACTGGGATAAAGTTACAGCTAGGAAATGTTTGGAAGTGGTTTCGTTAAACGAAAGCCCTTTGCGGAACCTACAGACGATACTCCTGGATGGATAAATAGATGGATAGATAGGTGGATGGATGGATGGATAGATAGACAGATAGATGGACAGATGGATGTACAGATAGATGGATGGACAGATAGACAGACAGACAGATAGATAGATGGATCGACAGATAGATAGATAGACGGATAGATAGATGGACAGATGGATGTACAGATAGATGGATGGATAGATGGATGGATAGATAGACAGATAGATTGACAGATGGATGGACAGATAGATAGACAGATGGATGTATGGATAGATGGATAGACAGATAGATTGACAGATGGATGGACAGATGGATGTACAGATAGATGGATGGATAGACAGATAGACAGATGGATGTATGGATAGATGGATAGATAGACAGATGGATAGATACATAGATAGATAGACAGACAGATAGATAGATGGACAGATAGATAGATGGACAGATAGATGGACAGATAGATGGACAGATGGACAGATAGATGGACAGATAGATAGATGGATCGACAGATAGATAGATGGATCGACAGATAGATAGATGGACAGATAGATGGACAGATAGATAGACAGATTGACAGATGGATGGACAGATGGATGGATGGATAGATGGATAGACAGATAGACAGATGGATAGATACATAGATAGATAGACAGAAAGACAGATGGATGGATAGACAGATAGATAGATAGAGAGATAGATAGATAGAAAGATAGATGGACAGATGGACAGATAGATAGATGGACAGATGGATGTACAGATAGATGGATGGACAGATAGACAGACAGACAGATAGATAGATAGATCGATAGATAGACAGATAGACAGATGGATAGATACATAGATAGATAGATAGATCGATAGATAGACAGATAGACAGATAGACAGATAGATGGACAGATAGATAGACAGACAGACAGATAGATAGATAGAGAGATAGATAGATAGACGGATAGATAGATGGATGGATAGATGGATGGATAGACAGATAGATGGATGGACAGATAGACAGACAGACAGACAGATAGATAGATAGATGGACAGATAGATGGATAGACAGATAGATAGATGGATAGACAGATAGATAGATAGATAGATCGATAGATAGACAGATGGATGGACAGATAGATGGATGGACAGATGGATGTACAGATAGATGGATGGACAGATAGATAGACAGAAAGACAGATGGATGGACAGATAGATAGACAGATAGATAGATAGAAAGATAGATGGACAGATGGACAGATAGATAGACAGATGGATGGATGGATAGATAGATAGATAGACAGATAGACAGATGGATAGATAGAAAGATAGATGGACAGATGGATGTACAGATAGATGGATGGATAGACAGATAGATTGACAGATGGATGGACAGATGGATGGATGGATAGATGGATGGATAGACAGATAGATGGATGGACAGATAGATAGATAGAAGACAGACAGCATCTGTTCACCGCTCCAGAGCTGCAAATTCCTTCTTTCATTGAAGGATAATGCAGCTTGAAAATGGATGGTTTTGACAATTTAAAAGCACTTTGTGCAGTCTTTCTCCCCCCCCCCATCTTCTTTCTAAACCTAAAAAAAAATCCAACGCCACAAGGGAAAAGTAATGGCCTTTAGTAGAGAAGCCGATACAGAGAGTACTTCATTTACCAAGCCACCTGAGATACAGAGTGAGTGAAAGCAGGGCCCCTGCTGATTCACCATTCTCTCCCTCTTACTTGCTCTCTCTCTCTCACTCTCTCTCTCTCTCTCTCTCTTCCAGTGTGTGTGTGTAAATGCATACCATAGTGAAAGACAGTTGTATTTCTATAATTGAATTCTGTGTTTGTGTGTGCCCCGGTCCGTTTGTCGTCCATCTGTTGAGCTTGAGGATGGACGACCGACCCAACTCTGCTGACATGCACACGTCAAAGTGGTTTCCCTGTCCACCTCCTCGTGTGTCTGCTCCTCTCTGGGCATGTCCTTCAGGGTAAGACAATGTGGCAGATGTGGCGAGTCACGCCGACACGTCTGCCTTCCTGCCTTGCTAAATGCCCGCATCCATGCCTGTCAGCCGGTTCCCGCAAGCCCTATCACTTATGTCCCGCTGTGGACCGACCTGCTGTGACGGGCTTCTGTTGACATTGATGAGCGTTGGCCAGACCAGCTGCCACTGTTTTCTGTCTCACAAACGTTTTGATCCGTTTCCAACGCATACATTTAGAAGCTTGCCTATATCAACTTGATGTCGGAGGAAAAGGCAGATAACGTTTCGAAATGAATTCTGTTTTAAACATTTTGATGGTGTTTGGCGCAAAAGTCAAGTCTCTCAAGGGATAGCTTTGATTTGTGTGTGTGTGTGTGTGTTTCTGGGATGGGAAGTGAGACTTAATCATGATCACAGCACTAAGAGCTCTAAGAACTGTGACAAGAATGAGAATGCAACCCAGAGGCTCGCACTGAGAAGAACACAAGAAAGCAACAACGAAGTCGGAATGGAGAGTGACGTCCTCGTTGTTGGACGTGTGTGTCTGTGTAGTTCCTTCTCTGGCAATGTGATGGCGTAAATGACTCTTCAACTCAGACTGCTGATCAGTCAGCAATGACCTAATGTGTATATGTATATATATATGTGTGTATATATGTATATATATGTGTATATATATATACTGTATATATGTATATAAATGTATATATAACTATAGCAGCTGAAGGGCCTCGAACCTACAACTGTCTCGACCCAAGTCCACGTCCTTCCCCACCAAGCAACCACTGCCCCTCCATTATTATACACATATATATAAACTGTATATGTAGTATGTGTATATGCTGTACACAATACATATACATATATAATACATATATACTGTACATATTTTATATATGTATATATATATATATGCACATACTGTACATGTACTGTGTCTATGTACAATATACATGTATATACAAACATATATATATATATACACAAAACAACATGTTTATATATATAAATGAAGATGTTTTCAGGGGAGTCTCATTGGACCAGACAGTTTCATTCTCAACAGTAGTAGTAATAGTAGTAGTAGTAGTAGTTATAGTTACGACAACTGCAGTAAAAGACTTTGTAGAATCCTTTAATGTGTTTTGCAAAGTTTTGGTTTCACTGAAGCACATCAGGATTTAAATACCACCTCATGTGTTTGTGGAGGATTGATCACTGAAATCCCAGGTCGATAACACAGGATTTCTAAGCAACGTTCCGATCAGAGGACTCGTTCTAGGTGGATGTCTTTCACTCCAGGTCAAACTTCAAACTTCTTTGCCTCCACTAAGAACTGATACGAAGTTCCTTTCAAATGTTTTTTTTTTTCAGCTTTGGGAGAAAAAGAAAATCTGGCGGATCAAGATCTAAACCTGTTTTATTTGATCAGACTTCCCTTTAAACCAGACGACTGATCTGCTTCAGGAAAAAAACAAGCCTTTGTTGAGAGTTGATTAAATCAAACTCACAGATGTGACGATAAAACCTGTCAAAGATCTGTTGATCCAATCAAACACCTTTTCAAATGACGACTGTCTTTGAACTTCCTGTCTGATCCTGTCAACTCCATTATATGGAAACATGCATCCAACAGAGGAGCCAGGACTCATTTGTCCTTATGGTGACTTTCAGAGAACCAGATCTGACTGGTCGTGAGTGTCTTCACACTGTACCTGTCCTGTGTGCTCCGTCTCGTCCTTGTTGATAAGGTACATCAGGAAAAACCTTAGAGGGAAACACCTTGACACCACTGCAATCTCGCTGCGCTGAATTAATACTTAATGAAGTGGCGCTCACACTTCAAAGATCCGCCACACCTTGTTCTCCTGTTGGAGGCTGCAACTAAATTTGTTAAAATATTACTAAATTCGCCAAATAATTAACTTGCATATGATATGCCAGAGCTCAGGCATGGGCAAAGTAAGGCCCGGGGGCTGGATGTGGCCCATTCATCTTTTTAATCCGGCCCTCCAAACTTTTCCAAATTATATAATTTATTTATATTATCATTATACTTCTGCCTTTTCCCTGCAATACCCACAGTTCCCCAATAGATGGCGTGGAAAATGATAAAAGCATCTTAGCCTTCATGCATGACTTTTTCATGTCTATCTGTTGTAGTGATGATTTTTTTTTTTTCATTTTGTTGATTAATGATGAGCTGCATTAACAATTAATCGTGATTAATCCACAACAACCCTTTTGATTAATCAGACGGTTTGTGCCGGTCAAGTAGAGGCAAACCAGTTTTACACCAGTTAAACCTGGGTTCATGGTTGCCTTCATCACATGGCGCAAGTGTCGAGGAGGAGAAACTCAACTTGAACTTCTGGTTCAATTCCAGAGTTTCCAGGTCTGGTCAGAATTTACAGCCTCCTCTTCTTCTTCCCTGGATGGATCCCTGTGGTGATTGATTGCAGATAGCATGCCACACTGCATTTACACCGCTGCGTCGTTAGGATTTACTGCTGCACGCCTCATTTCTCCACTCAGCGCGGCGCACGTAGCTGGGCTTTGTACGACCGTGACCTTGAGATGTGTGGTGCCCTAACACGAGCCACGTTGCACTTTACAGTGCCATCCCATAACCACACGGGCTCTAGCGGATCACCTCAAAAAAAACCACCAGGAGCGACATCTCCCGAGTGATGCTACAGCGGCATACTGCGAGCTCCAGCCCTTTTCCACAGTGCAGCAACACCTCATCAATTATTAATCCACTGCTAAATTAATAGCTGAAAACTTAATAATTGATTCATGGTCTGGGTGTTTTTTTCCCTCAAGAAAGAATCATCTTTCTGTTCAGCTTCTTCCAGAAATGGGCGATGTTTCGGAAAGGCTGTATATGAGGCAAAGTTCAACTGCTGTGTAGTTTCAAGACTTGCAATTAAATGCGGTGATGAGAGAAAAAAAAAAAAGGAAGTTAGCCAAGCCTATATGCATATTTTCAAAATAATATCTGACAAAAAATAATCTCCATAATATTGAAATCCCAATTAAGTATAACCACCTAAATCAGCATGTAAATGTTTTATATTGTTTAAGATATGGCCATCTCACTGCTTTTTTTCCTACTGATTTAACATTTTAAATCAGTTTTTTTTTCTCTTTTTTTTTCAGTTTTAAAAAGCAATGAAACCCTTCAGTCCTACTTTGAACATGTCAAATTCAACTTTTCCTTGTGGCGATGTGTTAACATACAGGGAGCTGTCAGTTGAAAACAACACTGCTCTTCTGAGTCAACAGAACCGCTGCTTTACTCTGTGCGTCACAACAGAGCATCATTGTACCTGGCCTTCCTACTTTAACTGGGTTTGGACTCAAAAATACCGGCATAGACGTAAGAGAATAAGGCATCTGCTTGCTGCTTCGAACGACCACGCGCCATAACACGCCCAAGGCTCCGGGGCAGTCGCGGTGATTCTTCTTCTGTGATAGTAATAGTGGCTTCAGGGAAATACACAGTTTAACAACATGTAGCCCAAATGGGGATTGGGATTGGTTCATAGACTCATATGTGAACCCGCTCAATACCTCTCTACTTTACTGCTCACTTGGGAGATGTTCGTCTTAGCTGCAGACAGAAGTTAATATACAGCACATTGAAGGGTATTCAGTCAATGGAGATGTGAGTTGCAGTCGGGGTGTGCAGCTAAATATCCCTTCTACCTTACAGTGTGCCTGGTGACACGTGGAAAGATGAGCAGACATTTTCTTTATCACTCACCCACTGTTGGGGCTTTGAGTGGGGGGAAAAAAAGAAGGTGAAAACGTATAGCAGTTGTTTGCCTTATTTTTGGGAGGCTTTATTGTTTCAGTACCATGGACAGCGTTGTTGTGTGACGTGAGCATTTCAAACCAGGAAGTTGATGAAGAGCTCATTTAAATCAGTGGTTCCCAACCTTTTTTTTTTTTTTTTTTTTTGGCTTGTGAGCCCGTTTTGACATCACACATTTCTGGTGACCCCTAGAATCAGTTTTCGTCACGTGACCGCAGCCGTCAATTAAGATGCGCCAGCTGAGACATTTTTATGCTGCTTTTTAATATATATATATATATATACAGATATTTTTATGCTGCTTTTTTTTTTTATCTCGTGTGTCGTTCCATAAATGAATACAGCGTTTAAAAAAAAGTAAGCAAAAACAAAGTGTCCTGACTGGCATTTAGGGTGTGAGAGTCGACACCCATCCACCGAGCCCTGCTGGTGCGCTTCTCCACACACACCCGTGGTCTTACCTTGATGAGTTTGCACCTGATCTGCGCGGACACCATGTGGCTGTTGCGCAGGTTTCCCACGCGGAACATAAGACACAGCCTCCCGTCCCGCTGCGAAATCACCGCGTCCTGGCTAAACATGAGGGTCTCGGCCCGCTTTTTTGGTTGCGACATCTTAATGAACATGCACCCGATGAGGAAGGCGTCCACGATTGAACCCAGCAGCGACTGAAAGAGGAAGAGGATGATGCCCTCGGGACACTTCTCTGTGATGTAGCGGTGGCCGTAGCCGATGGTCGCCTCCGTCTCGATGAAGAACAGGAACGCGGAGGGGAAGTTGTACACGTTGGCGACGCACGGAGTGTACGAGGAGTCGTGGCCGCCGTGGCTCAGGTCTCCGCGGATGTAGGCGATGACCCACCACATGGAAGCCATGACGAGCCAGGCTACCGTGTAGGTAAGGATGAAAATCAGCAGGTTCCAGCGCCACTTGAGATCCACCAGTGTGGTGAAGAGGTCCGAGATGTAGCGGCTCGTCTCCCCACCAAGGTTACCGTGCTGGACGTTGCAGCGGCCGTTCTTCTCCACGAACCGCTGCCTCTTCCTCTTCACCGGGGCAGAGAAGGCAATTCCTCGGTTGGTGTTCACAACCTGGTAATCCTCTCCAAATTTCCTCCGAATGGCTGACATCGCAGTAAACTCTCCGCTTCGCTGAACCACTGGTGTGTGACAAGTAACCCAGCACTTGTGAAAATGCGCGGCTCTATGTGCAACTTTGCGCACCCGGACATAAGAAGCGGCGCTCAGCGCGCCACTTGCATCCTGTGAGATGGAGATGCGCTTCACTTCTGATGTGAATCAAAACCACCAAGTGAGCGCAGATTCATGCGCAATACATGTTCAGAGTCCCTCTGTGCAGGTGCCACTTTTGGTCCGCGTCCCGTCCATGCGTAGTGTGACGGGACAACACCGCACACTCGGAATCGAACGTGAAAAGTAGAAGCTCCTTTTGTTTCCCTCGCAAGTCGCTTCGTCCTTGGCAGATCAGCAGAAATGTTGTTCTTCAATACGACACAGACTGTGAACAGCTGGTTCCGATAGAAGGTGCTTAATTATTATTGGAGGAAGGTATAGTGGGACTGCTGCACACAAGACCAAATGGCCCTGTGACGGATGGGTGGAGGACCTGGAATGGCATTACCCGGGGTGGGGGGTCTCTTTTCATCTTTCATAGGCCTATCAGGATGGGTTATTAAGGCAATAAAGCAACAGTACAGTGGTATAAAATGCAATGTGAATGCGTCGTTATTTATTTGTATTTACTTAAAAGTGTTTTAGCTACTTTTATAAGAAAAGTTGCTTTGTGTGTCCGGTGGCTATTGGGTGCCCTCTAGTGTCGTTACAAGGGAAATACAGCTGTGCGCTGTAAAATACATTGATGCCCTTGTACAGTAGTATGACGTCTGTCTTCACTTTCAAATGTGAAACACGCAGTTATATATTGTAATACCGTATTTCGTACTATACGTCCAGTGAGCTTATGTCCAGAACATACACGTTACATTGTGCTTTGTTCATTAGCAGGAATACTCTTTTTGTTTTCCTTCCCTTACTAGTTAAGGAAACCCTTTTGAAAATATATAGAGATGAAAAGTAAAATTAAAAATATTTTGTTCCTTGTACGTTAATACTACGCTAAGTTTAAATAAATTTCCGATTCTGTTACCCTGTTAGGCCAAGGTCTTGCAAGTGTATAAGCATTTAACCCCCCTGAGCCTCTACTACTAACTGAATTTTTAAACTTTCCGATGGTGAATAAACTGAGTTAAAATGTGTCTTTGAAAGGATACGGGTTAAATGACCCCCCAAAAAAACAAACAAATAAACAAAAAACTCCAATTGGTAGTTCATAGACTGGCTGTTTCCACTAGGTGGTGATGTTGCTCGAGTTAATCACCGCTAACCTACTAATGGTTCTCCGTCCCTACATATGTATTCAAATTTACGTCTTATTATTTATTATATATTACATTTAATCTAAAAAAATGTTTATTTTGTTTGTGTTGTATATATATATTTATATATATTTTTTCACAAATATAATATTTTTGCATTATTTTGATAATATATAAAGTTTATTAGGTACTGCCTGGGGGGTTGGTCATCTCTCCAGAAGTCTAAAATAATAGCAATGCACATGTATTTATAAGTAAAAGATATTTCGGTTAATCATTAAATGGTACAGAATGGATAATATGCAATATGGAAATCAATGATTCGCTGTGGCAACCCCTGAAAAAAGGGACAAAGCCGAAAGGAAAAGAAGAAGAGGTACAAAACGGATAAAAATTGCTTTCGGTTTCGGTGATTCGACATGTTTAAAATGTGGGTCCTACTAAAAACACATAGGAATCAAACACATAAGAATTTACTATTAATTTTTTTTTGTAATTTTTTCAGTTTTGGTTTGGGGTTCATTTCTTGTTGTTTAGTTTTTTTGTGTTAAATGTTTTAACTTAATAGTTTTACACTGAAAAATATTGATTTTTTTTTTTTTTTTAACTTGGCAGCCTTCGCCTTTCTCCTCTCACGACCCGTCCGTCCGCTACACCCATAATTCCCCGCGCCGGGACAAGATGGAAGAAAGCAGCCGCCGCCGGAGAACAATGTTTTGGCAATAAAACCTGAAGCGGCGGGTTGGGGCACAATACAGACACGTTTGGAACCAACGGTGGTCATGTGTAGGTGAGTGGAAATACAATTTACTATTTAAATGTTGTGAGGTATCGTTTTTGTGGATAATTTGGCGACAGAGACGTGTGGCAGGGCGCAGACGGAGATGCAGCTAGAAGCAGCATCATTGTTTCTGTTGTTGGGCCGTAATGCGGCTTTTCGGTCGGGACTGCTAGCAGCTAACTAGCCAGCTAGCTCGTGGCGTCTTCGATTGTTCAAAACAATCCGGTCGAACCGCACAGTTTGTGTTTAGACCCGTCGGTGCTTCGACCTACTTATGCCGTAATCCACCCAGAATGCTGTGCTTTCTCGGTATGCCGTTGCGCACTGTACAGTGGTAATTACAGCTAAAGTTAGCTATCAATAAATAGAGCGCCAGTGTTGCTCTCTGCCAGACAGATTTGATTTCACGAGCGTCATCAAACCTTGGGAAGTAGAGAACGAACGATTCGCACATGACCTTAGAGCAAATTTCTTTTTAAATTTCATTACATTAAGCACATGTTATGTGTCTCTGTTATTTTATTTTCTGTTTCACTTTAAGAATTTCCATAATTACCATTTAGGTAGTTAGAAATTATCGTTTTTTGTGTGTATTTAATACAACCCTTGGGTTGATCGTTTTGTGTGTGTGTGTATTTAATACAACCCTTGGGTTGTATTTTGCGTTAGCTAGCAACACTGGGTACAAGACCAAGCGCCGCTTTACGTTGGGCAAAACCAATTAAATTGAGAATATTTGTTACCAATATGACTATTTATACAGTGTTTTCCTCTGGTTTTCGGGTTTCTTGATTTGTGAGAGTAAATGGACTTCGGGGACTTTCAATTTCATTATGACTGAGGGTGTTAGGCTAATGTTGATTGTGTCTCACAGAGGCTAATTCGCCGAGCTAGCAAGCTAACTATTATGCATCACAAAAGCCCATCGCTTTCCGGTGAATTAAGTGTCGCGCAGCCAAATGGTCGACGTGTTCAGGCTAAGCCGTAACATTTTTCACTTTATTCACTGCCTTGTGCATGTTTTCATCCGCCTTCTCAATTTACAAACTGCTCAAAATGTCGCCATGACCAAACTTTTGTTTGTATTAGGGCGAATTCAGCTTCTGAAATTTCACCGTATGTCTCATTCTTTATACACGCTGTGCTGGTTCGTTCTATGTAGTTTAAAATACAATTTAGCTACAGTTTTTGTAATTCTTCTCCAGCCAGAGCAGAGAGAGTTTGTTTTTTTTATTTTGCCCATGTGTGTAAAATATCACGATAATCATTACATATTAAGAATTGCCTATACCAGAAGAAACAAACACTGACTTGTGTTAAATTGCTTATTGTTTTTACTTTTACATTTTAATCTATGTTTATATGCAATTAGGTCTCAATAAAAGTGTAGATATCATTTTGAGCATGGTAAAGTACAGTAACTTTAAATATTTATTTTTTGCCCAACAATACCCAATGCATTTACCTAGGAGATTTTCAGACCCATTAGTAAAATACTAAAACTATTTCTTTGTAACACAATCTTATCAGATTATTGTTAAGTTCAATTTCTACAAAAGAAAGCACTCAAATCACTTAAGTATTAGCACAAATGATACACTATATTTGGTTTTATTATGACTGGATTGTTATTCAATTGCATATTTTAGTATAACCCTCTTAAACAATGTAAATGTACTGTCCGTACATGTATTAACATGCTGTGAGGGGATTTTAAGTAAAGCACATTTTCCTTTTAACAAGTATTTTATTACTATAACTTACTATTGAGTGCTTTTAATAGTTTCAGTTTGTTTTTACTCAGGAGATTTGATAAAGTAACCATTTGAAATAAACAGCGATCAAATCAGTATCTGTGCTACACAAGATGCATATGTAAATGCATTGTAGCAGTTGCCACATTTACATAACTTATTAGAATAAAAAAATGTGTATATATGTAATAATGTTTTTTTTATCATTTACGTAAATGTGTGTTTTGTTGTCTGTTTTTTTATAATTTACGTAAATGTGTGTTTTGTTGTCTTTTCCTCTTTTAGGACGTTTTCCTCCTACATTTTTCTTTAAAAAGATTGCCCTACTTCTCCCCCTCTGAAATCAAAAACACGATCATGAGTATTATCCAAGACAAACTGGGCAATGAGTTTTTGCGCAACGGTGGCATGGACCCCAATTTTGCACCTGGCATGCTAATGTTCAGCCACCTACCACCGGTCACCAGCTTCACTCGGTTGGCCTCCCAGTCTGTCATGGGGGAACTTCCGCAGGAAATGATACTGAAAAAAGAACGGGACTCACCCCCAGAACATCAGGACACTACTGTAACGAACACAGGGGGCTTCCTCCATAGTATGGGCATTAAGCAGGAGCGGCTGACTGAGCTGGAATACCGTATGCCTATCTATGGTGGAGGTGGAGGTATAGGGATGAACTGTGCTGGGGGCGCGGGGAAAAGTGGCACAGACTTGCAGGACATGTCTTTTGGAAACAACCACCAGATTCACCAGAACATTCTCCTGCACGATCTCAGTCTCAGCAATGTCCGGAACCTTGGAGAACCAGTAAGTTGATTTATTTCATGACTTTAATCTCTGTGCTCTGAAACGAACAGTTATTAAAAGAAGGTTAAAATAAAGAAAATGCAAAGATGCAGCAACCACAAATCGCTTCCTTAGGAATTTTTAAACATTTAAAATAAACCAGTAATTTGTCACTAGAAAGCTTAATTTAGAAAAGTGTCTTTGCAACAGAGAAAACACACTCGCACATCTGTCATCCACATTGTTAGGGCAACTCAAATCTAATTAGGAAATGTAGTATCAAATTTACAACAGCAAGTACATATTGTCAAAGGTTTAAAGTACAATGAACCAGATATGGGACATGTATTTTATAATCAGCATTATCTTTATTTCTAAAGAGCTAAAATAATGTGTAAGTAGAGAATATTTACAAAATACATTTGTACAAAATACAGCAGACTTGACAAGGAGTATAGTATAAGCATCAGGATTTTACACAAATTTGACTGTGCTATTGCAATGGGGGTCATTGTTTTCTTCTGCTATCTGGGGAAACATAGTAAACCTATTCTGTCTTCTGTCTAGATTCTTGGGAGACCAGGTAAAGAGTCAAAAGAGTCCTCAGGTAGAAAAGGGCGAAGAAACAATGGGGAAGGTCAGGGAGGCAAAGCCCGCAGAAAACGGAATGATCCATCAAAGGTAACTGTTCTTAAAAATATATATATAATATTTGCGCACAAATTCCACTTAACATCTCGTGTTGTAAGCTTCAGAAATGACTTTTATGTCGAAACATAAACGCACATGTCCTGTGCTCTCCACCCCTCCACCTCTCCTTATAGGCCATGATGCTGGATGCGGATGGAGCCTGTTTGTCCCCCAACTCTAAACCACATATCTGCGAGCACTGTAACGCCGCCTTCCGCAGCTCCTACCACTTGCGCAGACATGTGCTCATACACACAGGTAAGGTTCAGCGTCACACTAAAAGTAGGAAATGATCAGTTTGTGTCAAAATGAGTTGCTTTTTTTTTTTAACCACACTTGAGAAATACTGTCTTACAACAGTTACATTAACATAATATAAAATTATAATATACAAAACATATATTTATATATGTCCTTACAACAGTTACATTTACATCATATAAAATTATAACATACAAAACATATATATTTATATATGAAAAAAAGAGTCTAAATCATGTCCATCTGCAATTAAAAAAGAAAGAAAACCAAAAAAAAATATGTTAAAGTGCAGTGCTCAGAATGATAAATCCAAACATCTTTGCTGCTACTGCTACTGAAAACCAGACACTTGAACACAGTATGACCTAATGATGACTCATTTGGTTCTGGTCCTCTTACTCATTCTTTTTGCTGGGAAATTCTCACGTGTCTTTTGTTTTTAAACTCATAAATCATTCATAGGTTTTTACACAGACACGTCAATTATCTTGGTTTTTTCCCCCCTCACAGTTGTGTGCAGTGTTTCTACAGTTGAAGTACAGTAGAAGTAAAACATGTAGCTTTTTTTAAGGCCTGGCTTTTGGCCTGTTTTGGCTATACAATCAGTACAATCAGGTCTGGTGTCATTTCTTTCTTAAAAAAAAAAAGACCCAATAATCATAGCAATTCAGGTACATTTTCTGGGTAAATAAAAATGTTGCGTGTGTCTCCTTGCGTTCTCTGTCACACAGGTGAGAGGCCTTTCCGCTGCAGTCAGTGTAACATGAGCTTCATTCAAAAGTACCTCCTCCAGCGGCACGAAAAGATCCACAGTGGTAAGTTTCTTCCGTGAGTGATTCCCTCTTTTTCCAAAAACATAACGAACATGGATGTATTTACAAACCAGCCAATGTTGGTTCTGCCTTCTACAGGAGAGAAGCCTTTCAGCTGTGACCAGTGTAACATGCGGTTTATCCAAAAGTACCACATGGAGCGCCACAAAAGGACACACAGTGGCGAGAAGCCATACCGATGCGACACCTGCCAACAAGTAGGCCACATATAAATGAATTAATAAGAGACAGTGACGATGAGGCAAACCGATGTTTTTCTTGAGCCTTTAAAAGGAACACATTAAGCAAATTAACATGGTCCTTTGATGTCTAAATAAATTGGTAGTAACCGGCTCTGTGCGTAACGAAACAAGTGACTGAGCACAGCTGGATTTGTTGGAAACATTTCACAGCACTGCTGTAAACAGACAGCAGTCAAGTGGCTCTGTCTTTAAGGTTAACCGGAAAGAAAATCTCCTGTTACCTTGCGGGCCTCTTAATGCCTTCAAATGTTTTGTTTTTTTTCTGTAGGCTTTTAAATGTGTGAAGTTTAAAAAATCTCCTGTTAACTTGCGGGGCTCTTAGTGCCTTCAATTGTTTTTTACTGTAGGCTTTTAAATGTGTGAAGTTTAACGCTGGAGCTCAGAAATGTTCCCATTACTGTTCATCAGGGAATTAAGATGATGTTCTTACCTTACCTTTTGTCATCTCTTCTTCTCCGTAGTTTTTCTCTAGAACAGACCGGTTACTGAAGCACAAACGGACTTGTGGAGAAGCCATAAAGAAAGGTCTGGATCCCAGCATGCTGGAGCTCAGCGAAGCGGAGCTAGGCCAAGGCAGCTATTCACTCACTCAGGGAAACTCAATGGCCTCTGGACGCAAGAAGGGCAGGTCTAAAAATGGAGAGGGTGGTGAGCGCAAAAGAAAAAAGAATACTTCATCAGCAGCCTCGTCCTCCGGAGGTATGGCCCAAGGCATGGGCCTGCAGGACTTCAACACAGAGCACACTTTAGGTGCAGGTCCCGTCACGCAGGGACGTACACCCAAACTGGTCTTTAAGAAAGCAGGCCGCAAGGGTCTTGACAAGGGCCTCCACCCGCTGGATGACAGCGGCAATGGACAAAAACTGTTGGGCCCAAAGCCGGGCTCTATGGATCACATGGATGGTACCAGCCTCGACAAAGTGGGTCCACTCCAGGGAGCCGGTGGAAACAAGCAGGGTCCAACCACCAGCAGCAACTATGACGATGCAATGCAGTTTGTGAAAAAGCGACGCTACCTCCATGCAGTTAACAATGACTATGGAGCTGGCTCTCTACACATGGCACCCCAGGGCAGCAGTGTCATCCAGGGTTCCCTTGGGCCTGAGCCCACTCTGGCCATGCTGGACACGTCTCCCCTGGATCTTAAGCATGACAAGTCGGGCATCCCTGATGAGGTACTACAGAGTCTGCTAGAACATTATAGCCATAAGCCAGAGGGAGGACACCACCATGACGTGACCTTTGACCTGTCAGACCACCCACACCACGTCGACCTCCAACCAGCAGCCCCCGTCACGCCAGAGCTGGAGGACGACTCAAACATTGGCGACAAGACGACAGTAATGAGCGAGTACTCCAAGTTTCTCCTGCAGGCCCTGGAGCGCACCAGCCACAGCGGACCCTTCCCCAGCCTTGGGCCCACAGGGCCCTTCCCGCTCCTGTCAAGCAGCTCCAGTCCAACAGGGCCCCTGTTCTCCGACAAACATGTGTACGCCACGTCGCCGCTGGATTGTGGCTACCCGCCTGCCGTCTCCTCGCCGGTGCCCATCACCGCCCCGCCATCCGCCTCCTCCCCCCCC